CACTAAAGTGTAAATTGAAATAAAGGGAAAAATTATAGTTCAAGACACAAATAATCAGTTCTTCGGGGGGAAAAAAGTTCCCTGTCACTCTTTAATAGCTAGCAGGTTTTAAAACTAGTCAGATTTAGCATAATAATAAAACCTCAGATTAAATTGAAAATGTTACATGCAAATGTACAATCCCGCATTAAAATGATGGTAACACTCATAGATGACTAAGAGCTAAAGTAATATTTCAGACTTGCAACACCTTTCCATTATTGTAAGATTTTTGAACTTGAAATCACACACAGTTCTATCAACTTGAACTTGTATTTTATTATGTCTATCTGATACTAATATTTATTTGTATTTTTTATTGATACGTAGGTATTAAATTTTAGTAGAAGGAAGAAAAATAAGGGAATTGGGCCCACTGATGGCCCACATTTCAGTAAGCTGTCATTTGCTAAAAAATATTAATTTGGGAGCAGCATTTCTGAAGGTTAATTTCTTCTATAACCATGTGTCCTGTAGCGATGTGGAACCCAGTCAGTGCAATCCAATGCCACATGTGTATTTATGTCCTTGGTCAAACCAATGGTCTCAAGTACATGGTGTATAATGTATCGCTGTTATAATTTGTATTGTCTGCTTAGTTATGTTTTTCTTATGGCTCTTGCCAGCTAGGTTGGGGGATTTCACTTAGTAACTGCTCTGTCAAATCAATTCTGTCCTTCTGCTTCTGTGCAGTGTAACAAAATGACATCCAAAGCTTATCCAGATGAGCTGAGAGCAACTGAATTGCCTTCTGCTCCTTTGTTGAAGGGGAGAGAAAATTCCTCAGCCCGTAAGTGCTGAGAGAGCATCACGGTATTCTTTATGGTGGATTAATTTTAGCACCATGAGTTCCTTGAGGTGCAAAGTCCAGGGCAAATCTTCCTGGTGCTTTGTGTGGAGGTGAAGTCAAGTTCAAAGGACAAGCTCTTGAGGGGAACGAGAAGCCTTCAAATATCCAACTGCAGTGAAGGTTAAGCAAACAGGGCCCGCAGCCTCTGGCAACTTGCCTAGGTAACTGGGGTGAGTGTTCATGGGCTCGCTTTAAGCCACTTCTTCCTTCCCACCACCCCCCGCCCCAGGCTCCTTCTCAGGGTTATTTCCAACCACAGAATTTAGGACAGAAAATTACAGTCACCCCAGTTCTTTAAGTCATAAGGACAACTCTTGACCAGGATCAGCTTTGTGGGCATGCAAAGGGCCTCAGGCTTACAGAAGCCCAACATTCAGTTGGTTCAGTGCTCTACTTTCCCTGTTTAAAATTCTTCGTACTTTTGAACAAGGTTCTTCATTTATTTATGCATGTACAGAGCTTGTGTACAAAGCCAGAAAACCATTTTAACACAAGGAAACAAACAGTCCCTCATCTTACTGCACTTTCACCAGTGATAAAGGAATCAAAGGGATTTAGGGCTGAAGACAATTAGGCTGAGATGAAAATGAGCCCAATTTTTAATAGAAATTAAATTTTAAGGGCACTGTGATATTGTGCTTCAGGGGTACTTTTTTTTGGTATCTGTGTTTTTTTTCTTTCTGTCTCAAGTGATCAGAGTATTTTGAGAGAGCAAACTGTGATTTGCTAGACATTTCAAACCACACATACAGTGTGTGTACATGGAGGCTAGTAGAGGGATTTGATACTTTGGTATTGTTCTGGAAGTGAGAACACCTGGGTGCAAACCAAAGTGTTGGATGGTCGTGTGTCCGTTCTACAGAGGAGGGCTGCTGCCGGCCCTACATACAAGTGGGAGGATGGTCAGGTTCATCTCCGTACATCCTCTTTCAACATCCCTTTAGCCTGTTCTGTTGGTACTCTTTCGTTGTCATCCTAAAAGTGGTTAGATTTCTGGAAAATTTGTGCGTAAATTCTTCTGCTCCCTCTGCCAACATGATTTGAACCAAAAGTCTACATCCCATATTCTCTGTGGTTTGTTCTCAGTTGATTTTCCTGGTTAGAAAGCTCTCCCGTCGGGAACACCTGTGGAATTATTAGCTGGTACTAACTTAAGGTGTGGCTTCTCCTTAGGATTCTCTGTACTTTAATAGCTGAAGGCCTTCTGTTGTACCCAGCAGAGAGCTGCCATTGTGTCTGCTTGCGTAATAGCTGCCCATGATGGCCATGTGGGGCTGGGAGCTAACCCCTCCAACTACTCCTTTAGTTCGTGCTGAACTGGCTGAGTTCAGGAACTCATCCAGACTAATGATTCAGACCTTGTCACACTGTCCCACTTGCAGCAGATGCTAACGTACAGAAAGATAATGTATGTTACATAACCCCAATACTTCTTCCCCCACTCTTCTTGCTGACTTTGCTTCCTGGGTCACTGAGAAAAGAGAATCATGAGGAAACTTCCACAAGCTCCCAGTACATCTCTCATTTGCCAGCAACCGCTCCCCCCATACTTTCTGCCTGCTCTTCTTCCTAATGATTGATTGTCCCTGTTCCTGTTTAAGTTCACTGGATCCCATCATCACTCAGCTGCTCAAGGTCATCCCTCCAGCAATTCGCCCCTCTCTCCTGGGTCATTCCCATCAGCATACAGATACACCAGTATTTCCCTTATCTTACAACCAACCATGGAAAGCCTCTTCTCTCTTGACCCCACTTCCTGCTCAGGCTACTGTTCTTTCTATTAAACTTCACATCAACATTCCTCGAAAAGCTTACTTATACTTGCTTTTCTAATTTCTTGCCTTTCCTTTCCCCTCAACCTGCTTTCGTCAAGTGTTTGTTCCCAATCACTGCACTAAAACTGTTCCTGTCAAGTTCACCACGGACCTCCATGCTGCTCAACCCCATGGTTTCTTCTCAGACTTTACAGCACCTGACCTGTCAGCCCCATTTGAGACGGTTCATCACTCCCTTCTCCTTGAACACTTTCTTCACTTGACTTCCAGGACCTGACGCTTCTGGTTTTCTTCCTACCTCACTAGCTGCCCCTTCTCTTGTCCTTTGCTGACTCTTCCGCATCTCCCTGTCCTCTTAACAATGGAGTGCTCCAAGGAAAGGTCCTCCCAATAGTTTTTCTTCTGAAACTACACTTATTGCCTTGGCCATCTCATCTAGTCTCATGGCTTTAAAATATCATCTGTAGGTGACATACGCTCAAGTTTTTATCTCTAGCCCAGACTTTTCTCTTGAACTCTAGACTCATCCAACTATATATTCTACTTAAGTGTCTAGTAGGCATTGTAGGTTTTACAGGTGAGATAAACACGACACCAGGCGAGGTAGGCACAAGGCAAGATTTATTAAAGGTGCCGTTGGGCGAGGTTCCGGGACTCTGGAGAGGAGTCGGGGAAGTCGCCCCGGGAGTGGGTTGGGGTAGTCTTTTATCTGGGTTAAGACAGGGCATAGGTTTACAAACATATAAAGTAGGGTATTTGGTGATCAGAGGGTATGGGGGAGTTCTGATGCTCCTGTTTCCTGCATATGTATCGGGTTACTTGTCCTGGGCATACATCTTTTTGGTGGGAGAGTCAAGGGTTAAGGAGGGGTGGGGCCTGGAAGATGGCGGCCCAGCTGTCATTTCTATTGTTCCTCCTGCATTCCCGGAGCCTCCAACCCAACAGGCATCTCACACTTAACCCTCATCTCCCCTTCCAAGTCCACTCTTCTTGTTCCCCTTCCCCCACAGTGTGTTCTCACTAGGCTGACCAATGTGATAGTTGAATTTATTGAATAGGGTCAATCATCCACCTTCTATTTAAAACTCCCCAGTGGCTTCTGGTCACTCTCCGAATAAAAGCCAAAGTCCTTACAGTGAGTTACTGGGCCCCAGCCAATCTGCCCCAAATTCTCTGTCATTTCTCCCTAGTGCTCATTCTGTTGTAGCCATGCTGCCTTCTAGCTGGTCCTGCTCAGACCTAAAGGCCTACCCATCTGCTTTCTCTCCGCCTGCCTGGATTGCGCATTCCCCAGGTGTCTGCATGGATTGCTCCTTTACTTCCCTCAGGTCTCTATTCAAAGGTTACCCTCTCATTCAGGCCTTCTTTGACCATCCTATTAAAATGACAATGCCCCATTCTACCCACCGTCCCTAATTAATCTCTCTCCTTCCATGGTGACACTCTTCTTAACTCCAGGTTTTTCTGTTTTATTTTATTATTGGTCTCTCTCACCCTGGAATGTAAGTTCTTTGAGGGATGGGATCTGTTACCGGAGGTATTACTAGTGCTCAGGACAGCAACGTGGAGCCAAAGCAGGTGCGCAATACATATTGGTTAAATGTCTAATGGTTTATCTTTCTACCAAGGAACGTGGCCTGCTCATGATCTCCAGAGAACCAGTTTTCTGAAGATAGGGATCAGATTGCCCATCTGTCTGGTAGCTCTTCTTTACGATGTCAAAGGGTCTCCCGTGTTTGTGTGGTGGGTAGAGCTTTCACTACGGGTCCCTTGCTGTCCAGACAGACCATTCACACTTGCTCTTTCGGCCAACCGTGTGAGACTGAAACACTGTGCAACGTTTTTACTACTTGTTCCCGGGTATCCTTTTTACTCCGTAATTAATATACATCTTTGTCTTCCACGAAATGCCTCTTTTTTAAATGTTACTGAAAGACTGAGCTGATAAAGTATTTGTTGCAATAAAATAGCCTTCAAGATGGACATATCGTCTCTTGCATTTATTCTACTTTCTAGTCATAGTAAAAACCTTCACATTTAAAATAAATAACCGCTACCTACCACAGTAATCCACCTTGCTTTTGTCAGAGGTTGTGGCCAGAAGTCAGTTCTGGAAACACTGATGTGGACAGTCACAGCCCACTCTCATGCTGAGAGCACTTCCTGGCTGCTTCTTGAGAAGCATTGCCCAACTCAATAGGGCAGGACATCAGATTTGAATAGATCTGAGGAAATATTTGAGAACACAAAATTCCATTCTTCCAGTTCTGACACAGAAAAGGAGCAACTGAGCACAGTTTTTCAGTTCCCCCCTCCGCATTTATTCCAATAAGAAATACAGAGAAATTTGTAAACTTTATTCACAATGCAGAAGTTGAGATGAGTCAAACAGCTGGTGGTGGCATCTTGCCTCTGAGTTTGATTTATAAAATTAATAGTGAGTGCGATTGTCTGTATTTCATTTGGGGAATGACGAAGAGGGCCTTTTCTATGATTATCAAACTTCCGACTCTGATATCACTTATCACAACCCCGTCTGGAATTCCGGAAATGTTCTGTCAGGGGTGATTTGCGTATTTTTGGACTTGACATTTGATAGAAGTTGGGTAACCGAATATCGTAGTGGTATGTTTTTCCTGTATATACCCTGTCATTCAAGGCATAGAGTTTATCTGCAATGTCACTGCCAATTAAAACTGAAAACAGGCGGGAGATGTAACGATGCTGAGCAAAGAGCAAATACAATTTCTTTCTCCTCCAAGACACATATCGACAATCAGTTTCTGCTGTGAGGGTTACCTAAAAAAAAGTGTAAGGCCACATAAAAAACAAAGATTAGGAAGCAACTAAAGTTCTACCTCCCCCCCCTTTTCTTTGCCCCTATTTTAAATGACTTTCACTTGCTGATTTCTTAGGTTAAAAAAACTGACTCACAATATAGGGTAAAAATGGGGAGAAACTACAAAATGTCTTGGTACATACATAATTTATAACATGAACAATCACAACGTTGTGCCCATTCCCAATTCATCTCTTTTCAAAATCTGGTGGATGTATTTTTGTTTTTTACTGAAGCGAGAGCTACTTGATACTAAAAAATAATGAAGTTGGCGAACGTTAGAGAAGTATTTCCAAGTCAGTCCCAAAGACTGCAGACAAATATTTAATTCTAATCATTTCTGTAGCACAAAATGGAATTTATTTACCTATTCTGCATATGTATATGAATTTATAGTTGCATACACACACGTATGTTACATGTATTCATTCTAGGAAAACAATATACCATAATAGAATCCACCGAAGTAAGTATCTTTCGAAATTATCAGACACAGCAGCAGAGTAGTGATGGTACGTTTAGCTTTTTTTTTTTTTTTTTTTTGCTAGAAAACAACTGAAATCTATTAGCATTTTAAATCTTAAGAATCACTCATTTTTGTAATAAGGGCAGACTTTTAAATTTTTGGTGTTTCTCTACACTGTGTCAGTGGCAGTGTTTTGTTTATAGTCAAATCTCAATTAATTATATTTTGCATATATGCAGCTAAGCAAAGGAAAATTGAAGAGCATCTTTTGTGGACTCTTTCTGCCATATACAAAACCCGTTCTTTTTCTTGTCACTGGCCCTCCACAGACACAGTAATCAGCAAGAGAACTGGGAAGTCAATGCGTGCTGCAAAGTACATTCCAAAGTTGAATATAAATCATTGCTCTGTCATCAGCTGCTTTATTTGTTTGCCTGTTTTTAAACAAACATCTGTTTGGAAGAGGCAGTGCTCACTCTGTAGTCCAGTTATCCCTTACCTGAAAGATGCCTTCCTCTGTGGGTCTCAGTGAGTCCCATTCAGGAGAATCCAAGAACTGGAAGGGGAAAATGTAATGCAGAAATTCGCCATCAACGGTCACTCTGATCCTACCCAAACACAAAGAACATCATTTGTGAGAGAAGGAGAAAGCAAGCCCATAACTGGAGGCAAGGGGGGGGGCAGTATTTTAGATCTCTGGTGGCCTTTATGCTTTTACAATTTTGTAGGCTAAAATATTAAATTCATACATTACAGTAAGTGACAAAATCTCCTGTAAGATTGAACATGTACTGATGTTCCTCACAGTTGGGTTTCTAGAATATTGGGTGAAATTCATCAGATAGCGCATCAAGGTGTACATGGATGGTATGTGCCCATTTGTGTGGATTTATTATATTTCAAGATACTTCAAGACAACGTTTCAATGCACTCAGATTTTAAATTAAGTAGGAAAACACTGCAGAATATAAAGGAGTATCACTGTAGATACCTCTGTTGACTAAATATTTAAGCTTTTAAAGACATTTAAACATTATTGTTTCTTCCCCTGAACCTTGTGTTTTCAAAATTTATATACCTACAAATATAAAAAATATATATGGTGCACCCCCCGCTTCTAGCAAGTGGGCAATTCTAGAATTTACTGAAAAAATTGATCATTATAGAACTTAAATGTTCTCTATTACTTGAAAGAACGCCCCATCAGAATCTTTTATTTAAAGTACTTTGGATGCCCACATTGAGTATTCTATTAATTGAAGCTGGCACCGTCCTGTTCTTGATGCTCAGTGACTAGCTTGGAAACAAATAGCATATCCAGACAAACCCATTTGTACATTTGATTTCTAAGAAGAAATATTAAGGCTCTAGATTATATCCTGCTTCGAGTAAATAACAGCATGTACTCTAAATGCCTATGTCCAGGACTCACATACGTGTCAAGGGATTTCTCATGCCTCATGGTTCTAAAAGCACCCAGGACTGTGTTACGTTAAGATGGAAAAGTGTAGCAAAAAGAAACACCAGCTAGTAGCTCGTACAGTGGAAATAACTACTATAGAGGAAGGACCAAAAGTACAAACCTTCCCGAAACAAGCAGGGAGAGTTTATCAATGGAGGTTTTCCCCTGCATGGCATAACAGTGTTCCTTTTCCAAAGTCACCACTTCAGAGCTCAGAGCAATTGTTCTGAAGACGGGCAACGGGGTCCCCAGAGGCTGGAAAAGGGAGCTGTACAACAGCTGGAATTCTCGGGAAAAAGTTATGCTGCGCACTTGATACGCAATGTGAACAAACTGCATGAAACAGATGACGAACAGGACGAAATTCCAGGAATATATGTCGGCCGCGCAGACATCGACCCAAGCCCAGACGGCAGAGCAGAGAAAACCCAAGCCCAGCAAACTGAAGACATAAAGGAGCCCGAAGAATCCACTGCCGCCCATGAAACCTACGACAAATAAAATACTGGCAAGATGATAAATGGCTCCTTCAGCCTCCTGCTTCCAGGTGATACAGACTGGGTGCTCATCTATCAGGTTTGTCCACAGACTTGAGTTTCTCTCCATGGCTGTCTGTCTGGTTCACTTTTCGGCTGACATTAGATGATATGGAAGCAAGTAGTTAAGTCCTTTGTTTTTCCATCGTCAGAGTTTCCCTACGTCCTTATAAAACCAGGGACAGCCTGGACCCTGGGGTTGGAGTGATTAGATCTTGAAAAACTAAAAATCCCAGGCTAGCTTCTTTAAGTTCATCTGGGCTCCTGATTCAGATCTAGTCCACAGATATTTTATGTTTCCTGGACAAGAAAAAAAGAAGGATCTAATTAGACAAGGAAATCTGAGGGGTATATTTAACTGAATCCCCAGCATTACTATTCAAGTTGATATCCTGTTTTCTATGAAGTTAGAATATATTTTAACATTTTATTTTGACATAATTATATATTTGCTTTAGTTAAAAGGAATAATACAGAGAGGGCACAAAGGCTGTTAAGTTTCTAGGATAGAACATGTATAGTTTTAGGGTTATGTTTAATAATAATAAAAAATTATTTCTCAACATTTTAATATTCATTAGACCTAGCTAACTACATATTTTGCTAGAAAGCTAGGTGCTGTCATCAACTCGTCTTCATAATAATAGCTCAGTGATCTCTTGGGACAATGACTAAAAATGCAGATTCATAGGCTGTGTGCAGGCATACCGAGTCAGACTGTCTGAGCGTAGGGCCTGTGGGTTAGTATCTTGACAGGCACCCCCAAGTGATTCTGATGCACCAATCCATGGCCTTTTGTGGCCCACCCTCTGAGGGAGAACTGTTGGACAATGGTATTCACTCTCTACAGATGAAAAAAATCAAGGCTTCGAGAGGCCAAATAATTTATCTCAGGTCACACAGGGGTCAGGATAGAGCAGAACTTTTGCCCGTAAGCCTGGAGGCTGGATCCAATCATGGGGCCTCTCATGAAAAAGACTTCAAATGAGGCACTGTAAGGAGCCCTACTAAAACAATAAACACGAGAAACACGTAATTAGGAGTCTGATTTTTTTAATTAACATATAACGTATTATTTGCCTCAGGGGTTCAGGTCTGTGAACCATCAGGCTTACCCATTTCACAGCACTCACCATAGCACATACCCTCCCCAATGTCCAAAACCCAACCACCCTATCCATACCCCCCACCCCTCAGCAACCCTCAGTTTGTTTCCTGAGGTTAAGAGTCTCTTATGGTTTGTCTCCCTCCCGATTCCATCTTGTTTTATTTTGTTTCATTCCTTCCCTAACCCCCACCACAATCCCCCACCCTTCCTCTCAAATTCTTCATATCAGAGAGATCATATAATTGTCTTTCTCTGATTGACTTATTTCGCTCAGCATAATACCGTCTAGTTCCATCCATGTCAGGAGTCTGATTTTAAGAGCACAGAGTAGACCAGGATTCTGTTTCATGAATTAGATCAAAATTATTTGAGACATATAAATTCAGATCTACCTTACTGTATTAGAGGTTATTTCAAGTTAAAGTCTGCACCCATATAACTAAGTAAATAATATTAAAATTCCTGCTGCTTACACATTTATTTACCAGATGGTCAAAAAATGTTACCAACTTGTTCCTCTGCACATATATTCTCTACCCTTTGAGCCATATGGTAAAAATGCTAATGTGTGATCTGAGTCAGGAGAGATTCACCCGGGATGATAGAGCTGTAGGATATGTATCATTTACCCCCAGATTTCTTAACAATAAATAGTTGCACTGTGAAGCATTCAGTAGACTGGATTTTTAAACCATAACAACATTCAGAAGCCTTGAACTTAAGTGCTATATTTAGTGCTTTTATTTTTGAGATCATTTCCAGAACACCTGTTAATAAAATATCAAATATCACAGATCTTGTCTCATAGAAAAAAAAATACACACGGAGAGGTGAAAATGACTTGGCTGAAGTAAAAAAGGGAACAGTATAATCACCAACAGAGCTAGAAATGGAAGTAAAGGGGCCGCTGTTGGAGTTCTGGCTCTCCATCCTGGATAGCGGATCCTTTTCTCAGCAAGTAATGCCTTTAACAGATCACCAGGTGAATCCTTAAAAAAAGAAAGAGTAAATAACACAGACCTAGAACTTGCATTGTTATTTGCACTAAAGCTACTTTCAAATGTACTTTAACCGCCCCCCCCATGCCCCCTAGTTCGTGCCTCCCCCATCACTCTGTGAGATGATGTGAGCCGGGGCAGAACAGCACCCTGAAAGTGTTTACTTTCTCCTCTTTAAGCGCAACACAAAATTACTGGATATTCACAACAAAGAAAATTTTTTAAAAAATACAATGAGTAGTGAGAACTGCAGAACACCAGACTGCAAATGTCAGTCTCCCTGCTGTTCCACTTTTAAAACTAGGGTATTTTAAATTAATCAGTTCCTCAGGATACCTAACACAGCCACGAAAGCCAATATTAAAAAGCACTGCTGGCAGAGCTCTGAACTTCGGTTTGAACTTCCTTAAAAATTTATAATCCTCAACAAAATGTTAAAATGACGCTAACAGAGAAGGGCCATGTAAAACCTTTGTGGCAATGCAGAAGGGAGCTTCTGGGAATCTTGTCCCCTGACGATTGGGACTTGGGGGACAGACTGGGCCACCTGCATTCCAGGAGGGTGACCCATTGTGATCATCAGAGGAACTGTGCTTCCGGTCCTTTCCAGCGGCTTCTGTTTCAAGAAGCTGCTACCAAATCATCTTCCTATCCTTGATCCTGTATCACTCCACACAGCAACACGGAGTGCTGACTTGCCCTGATTAAATTACTCCACACCCAGCCTTTCTCCACTTGGTGTGTTTTTATTCAGTCACCAAAACAGATGTATTTTATTAGAAGAGAAAGAACTGACAGGGGCAGGTGACGGGCATGAGTGTTCCTCTGATGTGTGCCAGCAGCACTCTCTGACTGAACGTGATTCATCGGCCAGCTGCCTGCTTAGAAGGCCTGGAGGCCTTAAGTCCTGTTTTTGGGTAAATAAACGTTGAGATGCCAAAGTAGCACATTGGATTCTCCAGCAACAAGGCCCACCTTCCCCCCAAGAGAAATTAGCACACAGACAAGTGATGGAGACAAAAATTAAGTGCAAATAAACACAATCATCCCTAGCTCCCCCCTTTCTACTCCTTAGACTGTAAGACCCTGAGTTATTGAGGAATAAGTTATAGAGGAATCTTAAAGGCAGGTACAAGCATGGTCCAAGAAATATGATGGAGAATTGGGACCAACTGATTAAGACTAGCTCAGAAATTGCATTTATCTATTTACAACTTGTACATTTATTATCTCATTGCATTAGACTCGTTGCCGTGAGGGAGACCGACTCTAAATCATCATGCCCTGCTTGCAAATGAGAAAAGCAGGGCACAAGATCCGCCCAGTAACGGGCTTGAGGTAAGAGAGGCAGGAAGTCCCACCCGCGAGGTGGGAGCCCCAGTCCGCTCAATGCCATGTCCTCACCAGCAGGCAGGGCCACCTTTCAAGGCTGGGAATCGGATATGAACGTGTTGGGACACAGTGGGATATTCTGTCCGGATTGGTTTGCCAGGAAAATAATAATCCTAACACCGAATATTTAAGACCTTCCATATCCACGTGTACCGCTCCATCCGTAATGCTCACCGCCGAAGCAAGGGAGATAGACCTAGAAAGGCACTCATGAAATAATTTGCTGTATTATTATTCAACACTGGCGGACTTCCTCTCCTAGCTTCTGAAACTCTTAAGGGGCAAAGACAAATGTTTTTGTATTTCTGACCCTCGGGGAGCGTTGATTGAGTACCCTGCTATCCAGGTATAAGCAGGCTGCCTTCTCCATGCCTATTCTCTCTCCGATTTAATGGATGATCTAAAATCTTCTGTCAGCCAGGGGAAAAAGAAGTGGGGACTATTCCAACATCCAAGGCAGTTTGGTACAAAATCACTGACGAGGTGGGACACTGCTTATTTAAATGTCTGGCACAGCTCCAAACTCATAGGGGAATCCTTTTGTCTTCATAGAAATTGAGTTCCTTAAGAGCAGTGGAATTTTAATCTGATTAAAAACAACAACTCTCGTAGCTTGTGGTATTGCGTTAGTTTTGGTTGCTAGGCAACCCAGAAGATAAAAATGCCATCAATATTCTACTCATTAATTGGAATAGATCCTAACTTTGGTATGTGTTCCATATGCAAAAATAATCATTCGCTTAAAGCTGGCTTTCTCTACTTATTCTCAAGGAGGTATACCTACTCAGGATCTACTTGCCAGAAGTATTTAGAAATTACCTCACTTAACCTTCACAACAACCCCCTGGGGAAGGTTCTACATCTCCATCTTACAGATGAAAAAAATCGAAACCCAGAGAAGGTAAGCAAATTGTTCCAGGTCCCCTTGCTCATATGGGGACTAACATTCCACCCAGTCCTGCCTGATTCCGAAGCTCACAGACTAAACCACATTTATTATTCTGCTTCCACAGTAGCCAGGTTTAGAGAATGTAAGCATTCATTCCCTCCTTGTTGCTTAGATAAATTCAGGCATGTTTGTTTATCAGTCAAGCAGAGGTAGTATCACTTATTCGGTCCACTCTAAAGGGTGCTCGAAGATTCAGATGAGGAAATCTATATTAAAACTTCTTGGCAAATTTAAAAATAATAGAGAGATGGCGTCACTGTACTTGTGGCTTGTCTTTTACAAAGCTGAGCCTTTTGGAGAATTCAGTTTTTTAAAAGCTTTCTTTCATCCAGAGGATTACAATTCAATACACAAATACAAATGTTACTGTTGGTGGCTACCCAACTTTAAATTTCAAATTCTAAATATACTTATTCCTGCAGGGGTGATCTCTGTTGTTCTTTCCTATCCGGGTCCTGACCTCCTACGGCTGGTAGGGGTGCCCCATAACCAACCCACCCTTGAGTCTTTACTCTCCAATGGCCAAGAAGCCAGTCCCTGGAAGACAACATTACTCTTCTACCTCAGATTAGTGTTTAGTGCTTCCCAGCAGGTATCCTCAAGTCACTGATGTTAAGTGTCACC